AAGGATTTTAGCAGACAAATGATATGTTCCTATACTTAAAATGTGGCATATGGTTGACATGACTTGTCAAGTCACCTGACTAGGACAGTTCTTCTTACAACACAAATGGAAAGGGAGGCCCTTTCCTCATCTACAAAGACATTCCAACTTCCGTGTATATTTTAAATGCCATTGTTTCTTTTTTAACTGGGGAATGCCCAGTCTAAACAACTTGGGCTCTCCCAACAAGTGCCTTGCATTGGGGATTAAAAACCTTGTCTCTTTCGCAATACATTGAGAATGTTATACAAATGTTTAAAATATGCTTAGAAGAATTAAATAAAAATCAGCCTTATTTAAAGCCAGTCGAGAGTCTCGTTCCTGACTGATTCACCATCATTCTCGGACAGCTGCTTCCCAAAAGACTGGGAGACCTTACACATGAAGGTTCGGGAGTGGAGCAGACTGAGCCAAAATGGTTGGGTCCAGAATTGAATTGGAATTGAAGCTCTACGTTGAGAACTAGTGCATTGCTTCCATGTGGCATGGAGTCTGGGGTCAGCTAAGAGGTTGCTTTAGCGAGTATATATTATGGTAACGTGCAAATGGTGGCTGGGACCGCACTGAGCTGGCACTGTCCTAGAGAGCCTGTCATGTGTCAGGGTTTGTGGCTTATGTCTGATTTTACTTGTATTCTATTTGCATTGAGAGACCCAGGCCACCATGTCTGCGCTCCATTGGGTTAGGCATTGTGCAATACAAGCAATAGGATTTTGGGAGACTGGGGCCATCTCTTCTTATGCTAAGCATGTAAGATGAACCAAGAAAGAGCACAAGGAAGGGGATATAGGGAACTGGAGTATAGCAAGACAATGTGACCTGACTGAGCTTGCACAAGAAACCTGTGGCCAAATGTGTGTGTCCCGGTTTGGTACTCTAAACCCAGACCACCTTCCTATTGCTCTGGGGATGAAAATAACGAGCTCTAAGTCATTCTAAATATATGTCTATGCTGCATCACGCAGTGCCAGGCAAAGATGCCTGAGCTAGCTCAGGTACTTCAGACGTTATGGGGTGTGTGTGGGAGGGGGATAGCAATTTCCCCAAGCATCCATTTGCTTAGTGGCTGCCGAGAGCCCTTTATCCCTTGTGGCATGGCACCCTACTATGGGAAGTCCCATGTATGCAGGAGGAGGAGATACCTCAAGAGCTGGAAATGAATCTTTGTGTTCCTGACTAGCTGTGTGGCTTTAAGCATGGAGCAGTTCAGTGCTTGATTCCATCTGTAAAACGGAGGATAATACTCACTTTGCAATAAGATCCTCGGGTAGAAAGTACTGAGAGCAAAGGACAAATTAATAGAACAGTTTGGATGGAAAAAACAGCCTGGCAGGTTATGCTGTGCCCTGATGCAGCGTGGACTAACTACTTATGAGAGTAGCAAGTCTTGCCGTTCAAAAGAAGCAAAGCCACATCGCTCTGATTCCTGAGGAGAGGTATGTGTCAGGGCAGTATGTCCCAGGTGGCCCTCCAACAGTCTGGGGAGCCAGACAGACAAAACACGAACAACTTTTTTTTTTTAAGGAGGGTTATTTCTTATATTGCATCAAGATGGTGAGCTTGGAACGAGGATGGCTGGGTTATCTACATGTCTGCAGCCATTTCCGTGAGAGCAAGTTCTTAGCAGCTCTATGGGTTGCATTAAAACTAAGATCCAAGGAACATCCATGCCAAAGACAGTTCTGTCTTGGGGCTGCACACTGTTTGGATATTGAGGTCAAGACCTGGTCTGGCTCAGGCATTGTTACAGCAATAGAAGGAACCAGAATGGACTGCATTGTGGAGGAGAATAAATATAGTGGAACAATGATCATCTGTGCCCACTGGCCAGAAAGGAGTAGCTGGCATTAACTTGGTCAGCTGTACATTGTTGAAGAGTTCTCATTCACCAGGGGAGTCTCCTGCTAGCCATTTAAAGCTATGATCTGGTCCTTTCCACTGCCTAAATGATGAAGAGGCCAGATGTACTACAGCAGGTGGCCCCAGCTCTGTGTGTTCATAGAATCATAGAAAGTTAAGGTTGGAAGGGACCTCAGGAGGTCACATCTAGTCCAACCCCCTGCTCAAAGCAGGACCATCCCCAGCTATATCATCTCAGCCAAGGCTTTGTCTAGCCTTAAAAACCTCCAAGGATGGAGACTCCACAACCTCTCTCCTACACTCCTACTGAGAAGGTTTTTCCTAATATCTAACCTAAACTTCCCTTGCTGCAACTTGAGACCCTTGCTCCTTGTTATGTCATCTGCCACTGCTGACAACCGTCTAGCTCAGGAGTGGGCAAAATGGTGGATCTGGTCAGCAGCCGTACTCCATTTCCCAACAGCTGCCTGCACAGCTGGCAGTCTTCATGAAGACCCCGGGAGCGAGGGGGCTGTGACAGCACAGGGCTTTAACAGTGCAGGGCCACAGAACCAGGGCTGTGCCCCAGCCCTGCGCTGCCACGGCCTTGTGCTGTCAGTGCCCCCCGTTCCCGGGGTCTCCCCGGCTGGGCAGGGAACTGCTCCAGGGCAGGAAAGACCTGGATCTTGTGGTGGTGACAGTGCAGGACCAGAGCCGAGGCAGAGCCATGATCTGCTGCCTGCACACCCCTGCCCACACAACCCGCGCTCGTCACAGGGACTGTGGGCAGACAATTGCAGTTCTGCCCCAGTCCTACCCCATGCTGTCACCGCCACAAGACCCCAGGTCCCCCCAGTTCCACCTACCCATCTCACTCCTGGCCCCATCCCAGCCACCCAGCTCTGCCCCCCAGCAATGGGTGCCCAGGCAGCAGGATTGGGGCTGGTAGGGGCAGCCACAAGGAGCTGTAGGGGTGGCAGTGCAGTCCAAGGGACACCTCGCCAGGGCAACGTGGAGCTTGCAGAGGCAAGGAACTTTCCCGCTCTGCCTTGACCCGCCGGGTCTGACCCACGGGGCTGTGGAGGCCCCCAGGGGATGGCAGCAGAGCAGGGAGCCTGAGCCCACAGCAGGAAGCACATGCCTGCCCCCGCCCTGCACACAGATCTGGGGGCACAGGTTCCCCTGCCCCTCCCTATGGGGGCCTCAATCCCCACACCACCCCGGCTTATCTGCAGGAGCTCCTCTCCCAGCTGCTTGGCCGCCGTGCGGGTGTACATGGCAGTCCCTGCCTGACCGCCCTCCTCCCGCTCCCCCCAGCCCCTTCCAGGCTGGAACTGTGCCAGCCTGCAGAGAGCTCTGTGCAAAAGTGCAAAATCCACGGGTTTCTCTGTTAAAATGAGAAATCCACGTTTTCCTCAGGCAAAGGGGGAAACCCATGTTTTTCTCCATTTTCCCATGGGAAATTGAAAACCCAGATCCCTGCACATCAGCCAACTTCCTCAGCAACCTTGGGTACTTCCCGTCTAGTTTTTCTAAATAATCCCTAACCTGTCCTTTGGCCACTGTTGGCTGCTCACCTCCTCCCCAAACTGTGCTGCCAGGTACAATAGTCTGGGAGCTGACCTTGCCTGTGAGGACTGAAGTAAACAAGGCATTGAGCACTTCAACCTTTTCTGCATCCTTGGTTGCCTCCCCTGTTCAGTAAGGGGCTCACACTTTCCCCTATCCTCCTCTTGTTACCAATATACTTCTAGAAACCCGTCTTGTTACCCTTCACATGCCTTGCTAGCTGCAACTCCAATTGCACTTTGGCCTTCCTGACTTCATCCCTGCATGCCAGAGCAATGCTCTTTTAGTTTTCCCTTGTTGTTTGTCCAAGTTTCCAGCTCTTATAATCTTCCTTTTTGTATTTTAGCTGACTGGCGTGTTCCCTGCTAAGCCAAGCTGGGCTTTTGTCAGACAGGGACATCAATCACCCAGCAATCACTTAGCAATCATTCAGCTAGTGGCACTCCCAGTTTTTCAGAGCACACGCCTCAAACACACACAGCCCACCAAACAAATAGGCAGGAGCCAAACACACAGGCAGCCCTGGCTCACTTACCTTTCCAAAGCAGGATCTGGTACTTCATGCCAGCCTCCTCTTCCCCTTCCTCTTAGTCCCAGTGAACTGCTTGCAAACTGCTTGCCCTGTTTGCTGCCCCTGTTTGCTCACTGCTCTGTTGGCAGAAGTGTATATGCCTACACGGGCCAGGCAAGGGTCTTTGGGTAGATGCGATATCTTTTATTAGACCCACTAAAAAGTTGGAAAAAAGTTCATTGCAAGCTTTCAGGCACAAACACTCTTCATCAGGCACAGGGAGACTCTGCTGGTGTTACGTGTTCTCCAAGGTAGAAAAGAAGCGAATGTACAAGAAGCTTGCCTGTGAAAATGCAAATGAGTGGAAGTGAGGAAGACCATGGGTAGAGCTAGGAAGGGAGGAGGGGAAGGTAGGGAAATGTGTGAAGGAAGGCAAGTGGTCATTTGGAGACAGGTTACCTGGGGTGTCAGATGTCAGGTAGGTTTTTTCAACTTCTTTCCAACTTTTTAGTTGGTCTAATAAAGAATATCACATCTACCCAAAGAACCTTGCCTGCCTGTCCTTAGACCAACATGGCTACAACCAACAACCCTATGCCTACACGATGCACTTGAATGCCAAGCTCTTCTCCCATTTGCCACAGTTCGTCTAAGTGGCTGCATAACTGAAGACTCTGCACCACCATGAAAAATGTCAACATTGTAGTGGAGTTTCCTGGGTTAGGAAGCACCACTGACCCTGGGAATTACCAGAAAGATGATGGGAAGTCCTTGGAGTCCAGAGATCAGCTGTAGCTAGTGTCTTAAACAGGGTGGATTGTACCTATAATTTATGGCCTTGGTGGAGCCTTGCAGAGTCCCGGTGTCTATGCGGTGAGTAGTTCACTGGCTCCCGGGCAGCCAGACTGTTCACGGGTCAGAGGATATTGATTATTTTAAAAGTATATGTATAAAGTAAACTAAGTCTGCTGTACCCGAGGTGAGGGCCAGCATCTTAAGGCACATGCACACATACAAGCAAATAACTGATAAAGATGGCTTTATTAAAATGGGCCCTTCTCTGGGAAGAACAGGAAGAACCAGAGAGACACAGTAGGAGTTTGGCAAACCTATTTCCACAGCAGTTCAGTCATTGCACACATGTAAGAGCTACACCTACTAGTTCTATATTAATGCAGTCAGAACTCGTGATAGAGGTGATATCTTTTATTAGACCAACTACATTTAAAAAAAAAATTATTTAATTACAAGCTTTCAGGCACAGGCACCCTTTTTCAGGCATAGGAGAAAAGATTGTAAAGTTCTCCCAGGTAGAAATGAAAGTTCATATTTCATAGGAGAGTTAAAGGTGTGGTAAAATCTCCTGTTTGGCACATGAATGCAGTTGCCTTCAGAGATTCTGGAAACAAATGCAAGAGCAGCTTGCACTGCATCCACCTCTCCATACCATGATATGCTCAGTCACAGGTAGTGCTACAGGAACACGGAAGGCACCGTGTGAGGTGAAGGGCACAGGGTGGCACGGGGCAGGGTTTGTAAAGAAACCCTTGGAGGATAAGAGATAACCTTAGGGTTATACCACCTCTTTCTAATTCTGCTCCTTCCCCCAACCACAAGCAGTAAGGAAAAGTGAATGGGACCAGGCAGAATCCTGAACGGACATATGAGAGGGAGGATAAAGTCATGCCAGAGTAATTTCCATCACATCCACATCCTTGATTTAAATACAGCCTGTCACCCACTTGCTGGCTCAACTTGGAACCAAACCAAAGCAATGCTGACAAGGGCACAAACCTCTACGCTACCCCTGGTCAATGGGAAAAGGTTCCTGGGATTCCTGAGTGAGACCTGAGGGTGGATTCAAAGTCAGTGTTCATTGCTTTTCTGCTGAGGGCAGCTCCCATGCTGGTGAGTGGCAGTGGGGATAATGGTGGCCACAGACCAAGAAACAGTCCTGGACCCAACCTAGGTCCTCCTTGGTGCTATTGCCTGCACAGCAAGTGGGAGGAGGGCAGGCCCAGCAGAAATGGTTCAAATGTGATTTTAAAAATATATGTAGATTTTTTTATAACAGTATGAGCCAAAATGCAATGAAAGAAGTGGGAAATTCCCTAGTGCCCTGGGAATCTTTCGAGCATTAGAGGCCATGAGTAGTTTCTCCAGTGGAAAATCAGTCGCCATCCTCCCATGGGAGATGCTGCCCTCGTCCGTGCAACAGCATCCTTGAATGCAGCAGGTCCAGGAGCTTCTACCGCATATTGAGCATTGGGTAGGCCACATAGTAACCCACTGTGGAGCCCACAATCACACCCAGGAAGATCCAAGTGTTGTAGGACATCACAGCCAGCATCACCAGATAACCAATCACCACCTGGATCACGTGGAGCAGTGTCTGGCTGACATGGTACAGAAACCACCTGTGCAAAAAAGAAAAGCAAAGAAAGACATGGAGAGCCCAAGCCTTGCCAATGAGCCCTGTGCAGCCCTTGGTATATGCAAAAAGACGGCATTACACCTGGAAACGGTGAGATATTCTAGGCAGCAGTGATCTCAGCACTCCAGCTGGCTGGCTTGTATTAGATAGTCTCAAACCCATAATGTGGATCTTCTTTTCCATCTCCCATCATCACACTGGATCGTGTGAGAAACAGACAGCCATGTAGAACAGGAGAGGCAAGGCATGATCCTGACTGGCTCACAATCACATCATCCTCTTGCATTATATGTTGCCTCTGCTGCTTGGGTTTCTCTGGCTTTTTGTAGTCATGTGGAGGACACAGGCCCTTGGGTGTGAAGCTCTGGTCTCATGTACTACTTCTCAAGCATTTTGGTTGCTATTTGTATGTTTTCATCTGATGTTCTATGAATAGTATTTGGGTATTTGTGAAAAACATATGGTCTCCAGAAAACTACAGTGAAACTAGTCTTAACTGAAGGCAGATATTGCTTGCCTGGAAACAGCCTCCCAGTGAAGATGATAAATGCTTCCTTATGCTTGCCTCCAGCAGGCAAAGGGCTATCTGAACAGGTTTTGCTATATAAACCGAATTCCATCACCTCCCACCCGGGCCAGAGAAGGACACTGATCACATTGGCCAGGCCTGCCTGATCAAACAGATTCCCCATTCACTGCTGCAGGGGAAGCTGAGGGGAGAACGCTCTGTACTGACATTGTGACAAAGAGATGATTCATTCCTAGCCTTGCTGGTTTTGATCATGCACATGTGAATGAGAAATCTCCTCTGATGTTAAGGATTGCTACTGCACCTGGGAACAGCAAGCAAGGCTTCCCTGGGGCCAGAAGAGCAGCCATGTCATTTGTGGAATGGGCATTTAGTGAGGGAAAACTAGGTGGGAGCGGGACGGGAGTCAGCCCCACTCTAATAACTATACAGGCCAAGCAGTCTAGTTTGGGAAGCCCATAAAGCAGAAAGATCTTAGCTAGTGTCTCTTGGACAGCTTTTGTGAGAGCCTGCAACTGAGCTTGGATTACCTTTTTTGGGTGGAGTTTTGCTGATCTTGCTCTGAGTTGACAGATGCCCTGTCTCGTTCTGCTAATGACTCCTGACTGATGCTGGTGGGGACAGACGACACTGTCCGATGAAGCAGTTTGCCTTTGGTGACCTTGATGACTTCGTACAATGCTGCCAGCAGCAGGATCACCACCACCGACAGTACCATCCCTGCAAGGCAAACACCACTCAGAGGGCCTGCAACCTCCTCAGATGGAGCCGTCCCTGCACAACATAAGCGCCACTTAACCCATGCTGCGACCAAGCCTCAGTAGCAAGTGATGCATGGAAGACTTGAAGGCTGAGTTCAAGTATAACGAACTGAAAGAGCATCCTCTTAAGCACACAACACCTGGCTCTTGGCCCAAGTTTGTCCCCTGCCCCTTTTACTCCCTCCCCACCCCCACCCTATCCCTGTCTTTTCCAGGTAAGAATCAGGCTGCCAAGATCCAGTCCAATAGGAATTAAATGGCGCTTCTTATGGCATCTGACTCTAGCAATGCCTGTGGACCTTCTTTATGTCTTCTGCTCAATTTATCTTGCAAGAGGCTTGCTCTAGCCTCATCCAAATGAAAGAGGTGAACTTGCGGAATGAGGTACAAAATTAATTTTAATGCAGATCTGGGGCATGGGAGCAGCAGCAGAGCACTACATGATTCACTGACCCATTACACAGCATAAAATCTCATGTTTTCTGTGCATTTTGTCCTGTGTCACACCCCAGTCCATGATAAAGACTATCGATGATCCTCTTGTGCTGTAAGAGAGTTAGGTAGAGTTTCACCATTCTCTTCTGCTTGTCCTTCCTGCACCACTTAGTCTTGCAGTTTGATGCATGGATCTAGTGCTTGTATAACTGTTACAGTGTGCAAAACAGGCATATTATAAACCTCACTCTGTGACTGCAGCTTCCCCCTGCTGTCCTAATCTTGGGCCTCCCTGGAACAGAGACAACCAGCTGTGGTAACTCAATCAGCTGACTGATGATCAGCTGGGCTAAGCCACTGTAGTAATCTTTGCCTGCAATGGTACGCCAGTGGCAGGTGGGTGGGGTAGTCAGAAATTTCCTAATGGGGTAACAGGGCTTTTCATGCTCTTTCAAGACCAGGAACGGAAAGCACGCGGGAGGATACATTCTCTATGGCAAGCTCCTGAGGATTCAGGTATTTTACACCTGGAATTCCTGTCATCTTGTGTGCCTCCCTTCTCTACAGCTAGATAGATAGGTAAATTAAGTACATACAGTAGCTGCCTTTAATCCCCCTCTTCAATTATCACCCAAGCAGCACAGGCCATGCCCTCTGCTAGCTGTTATGAATGAATCTGGCTATCAGCCATCCCTAATTAGCCTCTCTTAAGAACTCTGCCCAAAAATCTAGCTAGTTCAGGGATCTAAAAATAATAGTCTCTCCGGTCAGGCTGGTGCTTAATGACATGTTCCAGAGAGGAGGTCCTTCCTTTCACACGCTGCAGTTTACAGCTTTATTCTAAGCATGCTGTGACTCAGCAAGAAGCAGGGAGGTGGGGGTTATCCCCTTGTTAGGTGCAGGGAGCTTCTGGGTACTAGTCTACAAATGGCTAGTTTGGAGTCTCAGCCTCCAGCAGCTCATCCCACCACAGGGACTGGCTGGACTTCAACAACATGCCAGGCTGCAAAAGTCTTTTGTCTAAAGCCATTTGCTGGGTCCTGTGGGCAGGGCAGTCCTCCGGCATTCACAATATGTATGCCACTGAACAAAACCTGGGAAGGGGCTGGTTCTACAGAATCTGGGAGACACCAGACAGCTGCGGGTGTTTATAGACGTGCTCCAGGAAGGGGAGGAGGCAAAGTGCTTTAATTAGAGTGGCTCTGAGAGCTGCTCTAATTAAAGTGCTTTGAGCATCATGTGTATCAATGTCCCCACACTGAAAAATGGCGGCGGGGGCTTGTCTAATGAGCTTTAGTTAAAGCGCCACCTGCCACCATTTTTCAGCATAGGGATGCTGATACACATGACACTAGAGTCTGCTGAAGCAGTCATTAGCACGCTCCAGCAGACTCAATTAATTGAGTCTGCTCTGCTGCGCTGTAATTGGGCCAGCCTCACTGCACATGTATAGACACCCTCAAGACTGGTAAAGAAAACTAGCTCACTTCACCCCAGGAAGTCCTGACACTGGCTTGATTAAGGCTTAGTTTGCTGTAGCACACCACATGATTCCCTGGTGATTAGCTCCCAAAGTGCATTCAGGACTCTGCAAGCTCAGGTTTGTTTCATCTTTGAGACTTCTCTCCTTTTGGGGAAGAATCTGATTCTCAGGCTCTTGAACCTGATCTAAGAATCAGTGTGATGCTAGGTCCAAGTCACTTGTTTACTTGGCCAAAACAAGTGGCTTTCTCTCTTATATAGTCCCTTGAGTATCCATGTTGGGATAATTTAGGAGCATATCCTGGGACATGCAGGAAATGTCAAAAGGGAATCTGTCTGTATAGATGTGTGTAGATACTATTCTATACAAACCTTTCCAGAGGTAGGGGCCCTTATACCTTCAACCAGTGTTGAAGGAGGGTAAACCCCTGGGTTTTTTTTAACCAAAACAGAAGTCTTTCTCACCCACCATGCTCCCTTTATCACTCTCTCCCTCTTTGCTAGAGAGACTTACTGGCAGGTAATCCTGCTGAGAGAGGCTGTGACAGAGAGAAGTTATGCAGAACTAATTGAAGAGATTCTGATCTACAGACTCTTTAAAGCTCTTTCCAGCCCTCTATGCACAGACTTGTTTATGAATCCCCATGTGAATCAGCTGTGCTGAGCAGCAGCCATTTGGTTATGATTGGGAGCCTGAAGTGGCTTTTCTTACCTGCCGGGCTGTGGACATTCCAGAAGTCAAACAAAAGTACCACCTTGTCGGAGAAGACAAAATACATCTGGAAGAGAATCAAAGCAAAGGTGAAAAATAGGAGCTGGACTGATGTTGCGCAATGTGGAGACAGTAGCACTGCTTCCTGCTTAGCTCATCCCTGCTCCACTGCACCAGAGACTAGGATACAAGAACTGCAGAATCCTCTTCTGTTTAAAATAAGTGTAGTGCTAGTTGGCTGGCTGACAGTGGAAAGCAAAGTCCTACTTAAATACAAAACAGATACCCCAGATACTAACCACCAGTGCTCCAGACAGGGTTAGGAATTTGCCCTCTGGAAGTAAGTAGTTCTTGGCTTTTTTTCTGATAGTACCAACACCTCTTTGGTTGTATGAAAGGTCAATTGATCTGATAGAAGTTGACTTTGATCCAGCAACACCTGCTCCACAGGCCTTCAGACAGCCAAAGGATGTCATTATTTAGGTGGTTGCCATCAACTCTCTATTCATGTTCCCTGGCTGCCATCTAGGTCTCCTCCATTCTGCTCTTTTCAATCCCTCAGCCTCCGTTTTCATCTAATTGCCAGAACCTTTGGCAAAATCCATTGCTATGATTTGTAGAAAAGCAAGATGCTTCAATCAACAAGGAAAAGCTTTCTTAGAGACCTGAACCCACAATAGCTCCAGACTAGAAAGTGAGCCTCTGTTCTGTCTCCATTTCTCTAGAGCCCCTTTGCTTGGAGAAGTGTCATGGATGGATGATTTCTGCCTCAAGGGATTGTGTCCTGGAGGGCTTTCCTCTTCATTTACAGCTACAGCCCTGGATTAAAGAGACCGCCTAAAACTGCATAACTTGGCAGAATCAAAACAAAAGGCTTTGAGCATGTTTTTGCCTTTTTGGAGCTCATGAATGTACTGGCTCTTCACTTCAAAGGGCAAATTCCATTTGCTCCAGCACTGTTTGTTTAAGCTCCCTGCTTTCTTTGATAGCATCTTGGACTGGAAATTCACCTTGCACAAAGAAGAACTGAAGGCAGAAGAGAACTGAGTGGGGAGCGGGTAGGGGGGCGATGGGGCAAGAGCTGATTTTCTGAAACCACTGAACATCCCCAACTCCCAGTGAAGTCAATAGGGTGCTTAAAGCCACTTAAGAGCCAGATCAAAATTATTCCTTATATTGCAAGCTAAGTGAGCCTAATGCATGGTACATCCTTGCACTTCCAGCAAATTCTGTTCAAAGATTTCAGAGGCTCTTTGCGAGTCTGGATAGAGTCTCATGGGTCCGTGATGAGAGGTGGGACTTTAGATGAGTTATATGGTGTAAATAAACCGAGGGCCAGAGAGGTTAAAAAAGCAAGACTGTGATCACACAGTGAATTCAAACTGGAACCCAGGAGTCCAGGGGTTGGTATAGCATAATACTTGATCATGAAGCACTTGAACTCTGTAGCCCCTAAGTGCTTTGCAGAAAAGGTCAGTTTTCCCACATGTAACACAACGATGATACTGATGTCGGAGAGAGGAAGCAACTTGCCTGACAAAAATGAAATAAAAATCTTCTAAGGACTAGTTTGCAACTCTCCACTAGAAGACACTGCCTCTAAAGGCCTGCTCCTGCTCCCTCACACTGGTGTAACTTCATTGGCTTCCATGGTGGTTGACTGGATTTACATCAGTATTTCTGTGTGTGAACTCAGAAATGTAGTCCTGGCCTAACTAACAGTTCATCATCCCCTGGGCACATTTCCCTGGCCTACAGACCATGCTTACTGCAAATGTACAGTGAAGCACAGCACACCCACTTTCCATTAGATGGACCTAAAGGGATGAAAAGTTGCCACCCTAGAGCACTGTACCTTGGGCACACTTTGTGGGACCACTCTAAAGCAGATATGTTACACTGGTTTCAAGAATCAGTATGTGGAGAGGCCTGGCAGGCTCTGTGGCAGCATCCCCTGGCACCGACTGAGGGCAGTGTTAATGTGCCCTTTTGTGCCTCTCTCAATACAACCCTCAGTGGACATGCACCATGACTCTGCCCCGCACTCAGCTGGCTAGCATGAGCTGGTTGTGGGGAATCAGCTGCTCAGGCAATGAAGTCCTGCTTTAGAAGAGGATGTTGAAGATAGTTTCTTTTCTCAGTAGGGTCAAGTGGTTGCAGTGCATTTGCAGGAAGCTGCCTTTGTAATGCTCTCAACTGTACTTCCTTTTGGACAGTAAGATTCGAGAAGAATCTTCTCTCTGAGACAGTGGGTGGAGGTTTGCACAGTGATGTGCAAACACTGCTAGGGAAAACCTACTGATGGTAGGAGTTATACCAGGTTTCTCAAAAAGCAAGAGAAAATGATAAATTGGCATAGACTATCACAGCAAGGTACTGGAATCTAGAACCAGGGATGAGGCGCAAGTACAGAGGGATATGGAGGGTGATGGTCTGTCTTTATATTAACTTGTGAAGGTCCTCTAATCAAAACAGACCCTTTTTAAGACATTTGCAATACAATATGTGACTTTAAATGTTACTATATGCAGACTAGTCTATGGACTTGTTCAGATTACGGTGGGAGAAGAGCTTTTTCCGATTTGAGCCAGTTGGTCAATTTTAATAGATTCATAGATGTCGGGGGCTAGAAGACACCTCATGAGATCATCAGGTCCAGCCTCCCTGCATTTGGGCAGGAAAGACTGCTGAGGTCAGATGACACCAGCCAGGTGAGCATCCAGACATTTTTTGAACATTTCTACAGTAGGTGATTGTACCACCTCTGGGGGAGTCTGTTCCAGACCCTGGGCAGTCAAACCATAAAGAAGTTTCTCCTTATGTCCAATCTCAAGCGATCTTCTAGCAATATATGACCATTATTCCTTGTCTTCTCTTGGAGTGGCTTAGTGAACAGATGCTCCCCCCAGGCCCTGATGTGCACCCCTTATATACTTATAGGCTGCCACCAAGTCTTTAATGAATTCTTTGCCTCCGTATTCCTGAACAGACACCAGGACATCTCCTCCACTAGAACTGCGGATGGACCCAGGGGAGGCACCACCATGCCTAGGGTCAGGGATGACCTAGTTAGGAAACTTTTGGAGGGGCTGGACATGTTTAAATCAGTAGGTCCAGATGCTCTTCATCCGAGGGTGCTGAGGGAATTGGTGTGGGTCATAGAGGGGCCCCTGACATGGCTCTATGAGCACTCATGGGGCACTAGCCAGGTACCAAAGGACTGGAAAAGGGCCAGTGTGGTTCCCATTTACAAGAAGGGGAGAAAAGAGGACCCTGGCAATTATAGGCCAGTCAGTCTTACCTCGGTCCTTGGAGAAAATTATCAAGGAGCACATCTCCAAGAGCCCAGCAGGGGAGGTAATGCTCAGGGACAACCAACATGGGTTCACTGAGGGCAGATCCTGCCTAACTAACCTGGTTTCTTTTTATAATCAGGTCACAAAGTCCCTGGACGAGGGTGTTGGGTTGGATATTGTCTCCTGGGCTTTAAGAAGGCCTTTGACACTGTTTCCCACCACATTCTCTTAAAAAAACTAAGTGACTGCGACATTGATGCCTACACAGTCAGATGGGTGGCAAATTGGCTACATGGTTGCACTCAGAGAGTGGTGGTGGACGGGTCCTTTTCAGCCTGGAGGGATGTGGGCAGTGGAGTCCCCCTGGGCTCGGTCCTGGGGCCTGTACTGTTCAACATCTTTATCAGCAATCTGGATGTAGGTGTGGAAAGCATGCTGTCCAAATTTGCTGAAGACACCAAGTTGTGGGGCGGGGTGGGTACGCTGGAGGGGAGGGACAGAATCCAGCTAGATGCAGACAGGTTACAGAGGTGGGTGGATGAGACTAGGATGGAATTTAATGCAGACAAGTGCAAGGTGCTGCATCTAGGGAGAAGGAACCTGCAACACACCTATAGGCTGGGGAACACCCTTCTTGTCAACACGGTGGCAGAAAGAGATCTTGGAGTCATTGTTGACTCCAGGATGAACATGAGCCACCAATGCAAGGAAGTGGTCAGTAAGGCTAAGCGCACCTTGTCATGCATCTACAGATGCATCACAAGCAGGTCCAGGGAGGTGACCCTTCCTCTCTATGCAGCGCTGGTCAGGCCACAGTTGGAGTACTGCGTCCAGTTCTGGGCACCGCACTTCAGGAGGGTCCAGAGGAGGGGCACTAGCATGGTCAAGGGGCAGCAGGGCAGGCCCTAGGAAGAGAGGCTAAAGGGCCTGAACCTGTTCAGCCTCCACAGGAGAAGGCTGAGAGGGGATCTGGTGGATGTTTACAAACTCACCAGGGG